CAACCAAAATTGCTTCCCTGTTTTGATTAAGTACAACAATAAGTTGACTTATTAAGGCATTATTTGTATCTAATTTTTTGTTCAGGTTCTCTACTAAAATAAGCAGCTCTTTTTTAACTGCTGTAAAAATATTTAATATAAAATATAAATTTTAAAATATATAAGAAAAAACAAACAAAATGAGCATTATAAAAATAACTATCATTATAAATTATATGCATACGACTAACTAGTGCAATGAAGTGTTCCTTCGCTCACTTCAGCGAGAATTCGTCTCACAGTTGAACATCCGCTTAATGTCAACGAAGATCCTAAAAACTAGAATTACAAAAAGAAAATTAATTGAACAGTTTAATTCAGTTTACTGATAGGTTAGCGTGTTCATTTTTTTTTTTTTTCTTTTTTTTCTTTTTTTTGTAATTCACCTCCCCAAGGCCGAGAGGGCCACTACACTACTACTACTATATATATATATTTATATATATATATATATATATATATATATATATATATATATATATATATATATATATATATATATATATATATTATATATATATTATATATATATATATATATATATATATATATATATATATATATATATATAAATATATATATATATATATATATATATATATATATATATATAAATATAAATAAATATATATATATATATATATATAAAAATATATATATATATATATTTATATATATATATATATATATATATATATATATATATATATATATATATATATATATATATAAATATATATATATATATATATATATATATATATATATATATATATATATATATAAATATATATATATATATATATATATATAATATATATATATATATATATATATATATATATATATATATATATATATATATATATATAAATAAATATATATATATATATATATATATAAAAATATATATATATATATATATATATATATATATATGTATATATATATATATATATATATAAATATATATATATATATATATATATATATATATATATATATATAAATATATATATATATATATATATATATATATATATATAATATATATATATATATATATATATATATATATATATATATATATATATATATATATATATATATATATTAGTGTTGTCACGGTACCAAAACTTCAGTATTCGGTACCGATACCAGTAAAAACCCACGGTTTTCGGTACCAATTTCGGTACCAAAGATTAATTTAGACTAAATTTGCCAATAAAAATTCACCATTCTTTGTATCAAAGCAAAACACAAAAACATGCTAGCTGAAAAACACACTATTTATATTAATAAAGTTAAACAATGCCATTCTTCATACTTGTTTAAAATTGTGTTTCAACTTTTTCCACAAATAATAAATGAAAAATTACAAACCTAAAAAACGCAATTTTTATAAATTAAACAAAATATGCCATGACCAACAAGTAATAAACTAAAATATCATTATAAATGTAAAAAAACAATGGCATAATTTAAGTATTTCAAGCCAAGGATTGTAAACATTTAAGTAATTAAATAACTAGATAAATAACAAAACAATAAGTCATGACTGAATAATCACTCTTATTTATAAACTTTAACATTTTTATAAATTAAACAAAATATGCCATAACTGAACAACAAGTTGTAAAATAAAATATTATTGTACATGTAAAAAAATAAAACAACAACGGCATAATTTAAGTATTTCAAGCCAAGGATTGTAAACATTTGAGTAATTAAATAACTAGATAATAAACAACATTTTTTTCAAACAAGTTTCACCCAAATCAATACTGGTCTACACAGTTATTCCTTAAGTTACTTTCTTTGCCATTTCCAGATTTTCCGATAGAAACACTAACATATCAACATGTTTCTGACTCAGTCTTGAGCGTCTTGGGCTAACAATGTACCCTGCAGTACTGAACACTCTTTCAGATGAACAGCTAGATGCAGCAATGCAAAGGTACTTCCTGGCAAACTCTGATAGTTGAGGTAGAGTACCCATATTTGTTTTCCGCAGATAGTGGGTCATACTCAACACCGACCTCAGGCATCTGATCGTACACGAAGAATTCACCATTTATCTCGTCACTTGCAGAAAGAGGTGCTTGACTTGAGGATGCTGGCTCTCCTTTTTCTTTCTTTTCCCCTTGAATGGTGGAAAACAGAAACTTTAGTTGATTTTTGGATTTTTTTGATGGCCTAACTTCTTTACTTGACAATCCTCCAGACACCCGAGATGCAATTCCTTCTTTTTGATTGCCCATTTTTTTCACCTCATCCAGGAGACTTTGCTTCACATCATACTTTAGAGAGACAAAGCTGTTCTTAAATCGTGGATCAAGGTAGGTTGCAGTGTTCTAAAGAAACCGAAGCTGCAGGTCATCATAGCAATACTGAAGATACTCGTGTAACTTTTCCTTCATCTCTTTGGCTGATGCAAAGTCACTTTGTTCATGACTGAGACACTCAAATATCTTCCAGGTGGTCTGTGTTGAGACCACAACAGCCAAGGCACCAGGATTGCAATTCCCATGATTTAGTAATGTTCTTCAGAGTTAAAGACATGAAAGTGTCTGCAGTTCTACTTGTCTAAAGATCTGTTGTGCAGCTGTAAAATGATTTGTCACTGAGATGCTGGATTATGAGGTCTCTGGTGTCATTGTACATGCGGGGAATCTCAGTGTACATAAAAAAGTTTAGACTTGAAAGCTGGTATTTTAGGTTGAAATGATGCAGCATTTGTTGAAATCCACATTTTTGAACTGTATAAATGGGCACTTTATCAAAAGATATGAATTCAGCAACAGCTAGGTTCAGCTTTCTTGCCTCAGGTGAGTTTTTGTCATATTTTTGTTGCCACTGAAAAGCTTCTTTAACTGTTGCCTGTTTATGAGTTTGCGGGGGTGTTCCATGGTCTTCCTCAGCTTGCAGCTGTAAAAGGAAAAAATGGGCTGAGTCTGAACAAATGAAACATTAGTTTTTCTCTAAATAACAAACCTCAGCTTTTATAATAGCCTATATAATAGCCTATATAAAAACCTATATAAACAATTTTATTAAATAATTAGTACTTGTAAAAAGATTAAATATTTTAAATTTGTTTAAAAATACTTTTTGTATAAAATTTTTTAATCCTTTACACGGTAGGTAATTACATAATTTCTATTAGTAGCACCATGGAAGTAAAAAAGTAAAGGATTAGAAGGATTTTTCCTACAATTAAATATAATATATGTAGTTTTATTTATTTTATAAGTATGTATTTTTTATAATAAATTTAAAACTATTTCTATAACTATATTTATTTCCATTTTTATAATGCGATAAAAACCTTTAATACTTTATTCAAAAAAACTATACATAAAACTTTATTCGCTAAAACGTTTTCTTCGATATTTTTTATTTTTTTAGAATTTATTTATTTATTTTTTTGAAGAAGGAAAGAATCAGCAAAAATATATATGTATATTATCTTTTACTAAATTATAATTTTTTTTATTAAATTAAATCCTTTACAACTATTTTTAATATTAACTTTATTAACAACAACGACTTTATTCAAAACAGTTAGTTAAAAAATACTCAGCAGTTACTTAAAAAGTTTTTTAAGTAACTGCTGAGTATCAGTTTCTGAACTTGAATAGTCAAAGTTATGATACGATACATCTCTGTAAAATAATGAATGAAAATCAACATCATGATATGATGATCATCATCTAAATTACATATAATCACATGATGATCATCATAAGAAAGAGCATTACCTGGTAGGACGAAGACTCTTCTGAATTCTATTTTCTTCTGAATTAATTAAATCTTCACCCTCGTTATTTGAGAAAAAATCTGATGAAACTACTTCCCTAGGCAGTTTTTCTCTTGCTTTTTCATATGACACTAAAAAAAGTGGTGTTTAAAAATCAAAATAGTAGAAAATTGTTTGGAAAAGAAAGAAAATTTTAAAAAACATAAACTTGTAAATAGTTTTGTGAAATAGCCAACCAGATTTATACATGATACTTATGTCATAATCAGTCCAATCATCTCTAGGAGCTTCACGTTTTTTAATGGCCCTGTTAAGGCGTTCAGTCTTATATGAGCAGGTCCATTGACAAATACCATTTGTTACCCATTTAACGGGAACAACAGCCACCGAATCTTTTTCATCAAGAAATTTAACAATATGATACAATTTATCCATTATTTATTTAGAAAAAAACTATAGACTAAATATAGTAGTATAATTGTTTTTATTATAATTAATAATTATAGTGTATTGGTTAATAATTAAAAAAAAAATTAAATTTGAGAAATTTAAAATGTAGAACAGCAAAAAATACAAAAAGCAATTAAAAAAATACAAAAGAAATATAATTTGAAAACGAATACAAAAAACACATCACATAGCATTTAAATTGCTAACTATCAAACGTATCATTGTAAACAATGTTAATATAATATTGTTATTTTTAAAAAATATGCACTTAATAAATAATAAAATAATTAATTTCTTTATCAATATTAAAATAAATAAATTATGTACAAGTTCCAACAACTTTATTTATAACAAATGAAGCAAAGGTGACACGGCAAAACCATTATCAACTTGCAACAAGACACGCTTGAGAAATTTGTCATCTAAAATTGCAATATGTTCAACTTTATCTAAATGTGATACTAGAAATATTCCTAACATACTTGAATCACAAGAATTAGTAAAAAAAGTTGATGTTTTCAAAAATGACCAGTATACAATATAGGTAATATCATCTAAATTATCATTTGTGTAAAACACAAATATTTTTCACTAAGCAAATTTCTTTTTCTATTTTAACACAGTTATTGTCAAAGGTTGTTTTAAAACATAAATTTGGTAAATAAACTTTATTATATTGTAGTGAAAATCTTAAAAAATCAGGGCATAGTCCTTTGTTATGTTGGTTTCTATATTTAATTTTTTGATCAGGTTAAAAGTCATTTATTACATCATCACATTCTGACTGCCTACGAATAATTTCAGCTAAAGGATGTTGTGGTTTTCTCATCATTTTTTTTAAATGCTGCAAGTAATTTTCATATGGAAATCCAGATATTTTATCTAAAGTTCCATGCTGTTGAACATCATCAGCCAAATGGATTAAACTATGAACATTGTAAACGATCATTTCCTGGCCATACAAAAGTCCAAAATGGTTAACAAAATTAATTAATAAAGTTTCAGAATAATTACATCTAAATACACAATAAGTTGGACTTGCTAAAAGAAATGTGGCTACATATAACAGCATAAAATTATTATACAAATCAATTAGAAGCACATTATGTAAAATAGCAGCACCTATATACAATAAATATTGGCAAAATTCGGTTGCCTTCCATCGTAAAACTTCTTTAAGTGAACGAGGTTTTCGCTCAAATTCAGTCGAAGCCAT